AGAGATTTCTGAGTCAGTCAAGGCTTTACTAGTGTAGCAATCCGCTACAAACTATACCTACTAGACAGATAAATGTAACTTTAAGAATTAAAATCTTTTAAAAACGGTAAATTGCTTACTGCAGAGAACAAATCCTTATTATCTGCAGATGGCATCAAAGTCAACCGTCTTTTCCAGTCCTGAAGTTGACTTTCAATATCTTCGGGAATTCTGCCATGATTCAATGAATTTCGGGCCGTCTTTAACGTTCTAAATGGGCAGACAAAATGTATTTTGGACTTTAAATTATAAACTATTTGAAAAAATCTACATATATTACAGAATTTTCATACGTAATAAATTAATTAAGTTTATTAAAATTACAAATTTAGCTAAAATAGAGGAGAAGATATTGAAAGATTTTTGTGTCGTTACTAAGTAAAAACCGGTTACACCACCACAACGTCTGATTACACTTTTCAAAGAAATAATTAAGGCGGTAAAGGCTTAATGGTTAATTTAAAGGTATTAAAGGCTAATTTTTTGGAGGGAGGGTGGGGGGAGAAATACCTGAACTCCGCTTCCAACTCAGTAACTTTTCGTCTTGCTATTCTATTCTCTTCTCTAAGAGCCTCAATTGTTGCAGCTGATTCAATGTCATTCCCTCTGCTATTCTGCGTCAGAGCAGAATTTTCTTTCCTCGAAGCCTCAAGAGCCTTTTGCAGATTATCGATCACAGATTGGCTTTGTTGAAGATCACTTTGTAGACACTCAACCTCATATTGTGCATCGGAATACTAAACGAAATCAATAAAGTGACAAGTGTTAATTTAATTAACTTTGAACAATCGTATATCAAGTGATAAAGCAAGCTAATTTCGATTACTTTTAATTCAAATATATACCAGAAATTAGAAATGATTTTAATAACCAAAAGACGGTTAATTAATTAAAATTAAAAAATTAATAATTTTCATCAGAGTAAACGAATTCACCCCCATTTACTCACAAGACTTTTATTGGTTATTTAAGAAATAAAAAAATAAAATGGAGAAACACAACCAAAATAACCACGAAAACACCAGAACATTCCGGAAAGTTATCGATCGCGAAGCGAGTTAATCTGGTTGTGTGTGCAGTGGCCTTCTCGGCTAAACAGATGTTGAAAATTCATTAAGAGTTGCGTTAAATGTGTCCTTTTACTGATCATATTCGCGGGTGGCCAAATTTTCAATAAGCTCCATTCAACCAGCGCATTCTCCTGATGGCGTCGCTTAGGCAATTTCCCGGAACAATGTTAGACCATGAGAATGATGCCAGAGAAGATTAAAAGGATTTGTTCGCCACAAGCATAAAACCTACCTTTACCAGTGCAATCTTTCAAGTGTATATATCTTTTAATAACAGATGTGAGATAATATTTTTATCATAAAAATGGTGTTTTTAATTACAAAGCACTTGCCTTCTCCTCTAAAATAACATTTTTACATTGCAAATCCGCCAAATGCTTGAGAACTTCATTCCCACTCATCCTCCAGATGCCAAAGAAACGCTATGCCTTATTTTTGGGGGAACTAATAGCCCTTTCAACCAGTTACCATGGCAGCAAGGGCTTAGCTAAATTTATCAAGAGTTACCCATTGTTTGTGCGCTTCGTAACTGCCCAATGGCAGCCTCAATACGCGTTTTATGGTAAAATACGATTCAAAACATTTTGATCTTCGAAAAATCTCCAACTTGGAAATAGAGCGACAATAAATTCCTACGCCACTCACTAAATTTCAACGTTTTCGGGATAGACGAGCTAGTCTAAATGCGAGCAATTATTCTTTCAGGATTGGACCGGCCGACATCTTTCCACACAATGAAGGCCTTAATCAGAAGAGAATTCCTGACCTCAAGGTGCAACGAACTTAAAGCTCGAACAAAGGAGAAACAGTGGACACTGGCACTCTCCGACATAGCCGACTGGCCAAGAATCGAAGCCTTTGCTGAGTTTAGACTACGTACCGGACACGATTGCTTGGCAAATCACCTTCACAGATTGGGAGTATACACTCAACCCACATGCTCTCTATGTAACCTACAGGAGGAAATGGAGAAGACCCACCTGATTCGGTGTCCAGCCCTAAAGACTACGACGGAAAGCCAGAGATACTGGGAAGCAAGATGACGGCTAACGAACTGCTATAAATGTACCCCCCCCCCACCCTTGGGGGAAGCTGAAGTCAAAGTTTAAGGGCTAATGATAAATATCACAAAGCCTGCCATTTGAAATAAATAAATAAATTCTTTCAGGACTATTCTTATAGAACTTTCCAACTTCTGTGGCTATCATTAAAGTTTTATCTACTTTTTTTTACTGGTAGATATTACCATGGATCTTGTGCAATTTGACTGTTTATTTCAACTAAAATTAATTAGAAGCACACTTTGAACTTACGTTAAATCCGAGTATTGGGTGTTCATCTCAACTTGTAATAGTTCTCTAGGTTAAATTTCATTGACCGAAAGTAGAAAGAATGGTAGATCAGCAAATTCACTGTCAAGGGATCTCGTTTTTTCCTCTCCCACCCCCCCTTTAAAAAGATAATTCAACAGCGCCCTCCGGCTAAATAAGGTGAGAAGTCCATCAGCTGTTTTATAACACGAACACCTTCATTTACTTACTAATTTGGTTCCAAATTTTGCCAATTACATCGTGATTGGCCAAGTATATGCAGCCTGTCAATCCGCCATATCTTGATGAATCGATTTTAATCGCTGTATCCTAACCGTTATAGAAATTTCCCACAAATACGGAACACACACATAATAATTTAAAACGATCAGGTTTCAGCTAGGTTTATCAACCGTAGCTTGGCAATGGTGCGATAGCCCTTTAGCACAACAATTTTTGCTACCTGATGAAAGTGCACTTTAAAAAATCGTTGAGGTAATAATATTTTTGCGTCTTTTTCATACAAATGATACTCAGTATACCTTATGAAAGATGAAATGCGTGTACACAATCAAATAGTGCATTAAAAGTACTCAGAAATGGAAAAAGTACACTTCCTTAATTAAAATACCAGGGAAGCTTTTATTATAATTTACAATTATTTTTAAGCTTTTTTTACTTTTTAATAAATATTATAACACTTTGAAGCTATAGTTTTCGTACTTAATTTGAATTCCCATTTGCCGATTCCCATTGGCAAATTCTCTCGTGTCAATAACGTGTAGCGCACATTTTTGCAGATCTTCGTGTGTGCACCCTGACAGCTTGATACTCTGTTTTTCGGGAATTGGGTCAATCTGACTACTTATGACGGGCTAGAAAAAATCAACCTATTTACGTTTTAAAAAGATGCATGAAAGCAATGCATAAATATAAGCATTTAGTAATGAATTTCGAATCGCGTCCATACAGAGACGATATTTATTTGTATTAAATGGCAGGCGTTTTGATAGTTACCATTGGCCCTTTAGTTGACTTCAGGCTTCACAGAGAGGAGGAGGAACATCAAAGTGACAAAAAGTCGAGAGGGGGAGGAGGGGGAACAGGAGAATGTTTCAACGATGTAAATGAGACAGACACAAAGGTAGGGAATAAGGTAAGATGAGTAATGTGGTAGTGGTGGGATATGACATACAGTGGGGGTGATGGTAACTTGAAGTCAGAAGTCAACTGTCAATTAATAGACATTTTTGCCGTATGAGTATACGTTTCCCAGGGTGCACCAAGGGGTGGTAAGTCCATCTTACACCCCATAACGAGACGATATATCGTCAAGCGTTCCTTCAGTAAGAACATTATGAGCTTGAAACGATTGACTACAAGTCTCTTTCATCTTTTTCGATCTGCCCTTCAGCTTAGTTAAAGAAGGTCTTTAAAATCAAGTTGGCATCAAATGAGCCAACGAACAGCCACTTCCTAGTCTCTCCTAATTTGTCCCACCAATATTGAATTGACTAATTTACTGACCTCGATCCCAATCTAAAGTTTTCTAATGCATTGTATTAAAGCAAAGTCTTAAAAAATGCGTCTGCTAGTATTGACACATGGAATCACTTTTCCAACCTCCGATTTGTAACTAATCTGGGGTATTTAGTTAAGCGGTTTCCAATGGGATCAGGTGAGTGATAAGCGGCTTAGTACTGAGATTATCTCTATTTGAGGCAGGAATGGTCAGTCATTAGTGCAGTCATTAACAATTGAGAATAAGTTTTTAGTTTACTAATGTAATTACATTTTTGTTTACTCAACGATTTCGTCATGCAGGGTGTTTGAAAAAAATCATCGAAATTTTGTGACCACTTAGCGTTCAAGTGTTCAGGAAGGTGTTAAGTGATTGATGCGAAAAGAACTTCTAAACCAGTTTTTTTTGAATGCGCTAAACTCAAGGTCACGAATTTTATAAGAGAAAACGAAAAATACGTTTGAAGTGAGCCAACTAACAATCTAATGGCTGCGAGTCTTCACCGATGGGTCATACATAGAAAACCAAGCAAACGTTAGTTTAGGTGTCTACTCTCAAATCTTCTTTTTCTATGCATTAGCGGGACACAATAGATCCGCTTTTGAAGGAGAAATAGAGGCCATTAGGATAGCACTATACCAATTATGTTGCCTGGATGCGAAATTCATCAAAGCGGTGATACTTTTGGACTCACAGTCAGCAATAAATTCAATTGGAAATAGAGAGCCACCCAAAACAGCCGAGATATACGAATGTAAAAAACTCTATCAGCTGCTGAGAGAGAAAAAAACGAAATAGCAGTTCTTCAATGGATCCCCGAACACTATGACATTATAGGCAGTGAGCGTGCTCACGCACTTGCTAAAAAGGAGACTACAATTTTGCTTGGGATCGACCGGCCGATGTCTTTTCACACAATGAAGACCTCACTCAGGAGAGAATTCAAGGCCTCAAGATGCAACGAACTTAAAGCGCGAACAAATGAGAAACAGTGGACAGTGGCACTCTCCGACATACCCGACTGGCCAAGAATCGGAGCTGTTGCTGAGTTTAGACTACGTTCTGGGCATGATTACCTGGCGAAGCAACTATACAGAATAGGAGTCTACGCTCAGCCAACATGCCCCAANAAGCTCGGACAAAGGAGCAACAGTGGATAGTGGCACTCTCCGACTTACCCGACTGACAAAGAATCGAAGTCGTTGCTGAGTTTAGACTACGTACCGGACGGATTGCCTGGCAAAACACCTTCAAAGATTGGGAGTATACAGAATCGAGCTGTTGCTGAGTTTAGACTACGTTCTGGGCATGATTACCTGGCGAAGCAACTATACAGAATAGGAGTCTACGCTCAGCCAACATGCCCCAACGTGACCTACAAGAGGAAATGGAGGAGACGCACCTGATTCGATGTCCAGCCCTAAAGACAACGACAGAAA